CTGAAAAATGTATCAGATTATTTCACCTTTACATCATTTCAGAAAGTTAAAATGGAAGCTTTTCTATAGAATCCTACAACGTCCAAATTATGTGAGTTCTAACAGAACCAGCTCATAAGAGACCCCAGTGTTTAAAATCATAGCACACACCATCGGACCACAGCTGTAGCTATTTAGTATTAGTGGAGAAATCCAAATACTTCCCTGGAATAAATTATGGCAGACCCCAAATTCCTGACTTAGCATTCTGTAGGAGCTGCATCTGTGATTTTAAAGAAAACCATAAAATCATCTTCTTTGAACTAGAAGCAAATTAATGTCATCTGGTTTTAATTATTCATATATCATGCCTTTTTAAAGTTTAAATTAGCATTTAGTTCCAAAAAAAATCCCAATTTTGCAATAAATCCTTTAGGTGGGAAATGACTATTTAAATGAGTCATGAGGGGGCTGGGGATGTGGCTCAAGCGGTAGCACGCTCGCCTGGCATGCATGCGGCTCAGGTTCGATCCTCAGCACCACATGCAAACAAAGATGTTGTGTCCGCTGAAAACTAAAAATAAATAATAAAAAATTTTAAAAAATAAAAAATAAATGAGTCATTAGCCAAGAAAAGAGTGGGCCCCTCTTCCTCATGTCCCTCACCACCGCCCCCCCCCAAAATTCAGCTTTTGATTTTCAGCAACATGTTTAGAACCACACCTCAGGCCATCAATTCTTCATTGTGAGGCTTCTTGTCAACTCAAAGTCAAACTCCTTCAGACTTCAAAACTCTTAGAAAAGGAAAAAAATTGAGAGTAAAAGAAGAGAGGGATGGAGGGAGGTAGACAGGCAGGAGAAGAGGAGAGAAAAAAGAAAAGGCAGAGAATTACTTGTTTCAAAACAGTGCAATTTGTAGCCAGGAGTGGTGGTGCTCACCTGTAATCCCAGCAGCTGGGGAGGCTGAGGCAGGAGGATCACAAGTTCAAAGCCAGCCTCAGCTATTTAGTGAGGTCCTAAACAACTTAGTGAGACTTGTCTCAAAATAAAAAACTAAAATATGTGGCTCAGTGGTTAAGCAACTCTGGACAATCCCAGGTGCAGTTTGTATATGCTTTTAATCCCACACAGACATGTACAATCAGTCTATAGGGCTAAAGAGCAATAATCCATAATCAATAAGGTAAACAAAAGCAAATTCAACACATTTCAGACTTTTTACACTTACAGCCTCACTGTTTGCTGGGATGGCATATTTCCAAGCAGATGACTCCCTGATGTCTCTTAATATTACTTTTAATTTAGTAAATTTCAAGTGCTAAGAACCTGCCAATTTTTTGTAAGTAGAAAAATCCTTTTATCTGAAAAAGAGATCACCTCGTAAACTAAAGCTGAACTTAAAGTTATATTTATATTTAAATTTCAGCATTACTTGCTACCATATGCTAAATTAAAACTCTTCACTCATTAAAATACAGTAATTGCACCAGGCTCAGTGGCCCAAGCCTATAATCCTAGTGATTTGGGAGATTGAAGCAGGAAGGTGGCAAATTTGAGACCAGTCTCAGCAATTTAGTGTTGACCCTATCTCAAAATAAAAAATATAAAAGACTGGGGATGTAGCTGGGTGGTAGAGCATCCCTGAGTTCATTCTCTGGTACAGCAAAATCAATTAATTAATTGATTGATTGATTGATTATATACCATCATTATCTCCCCCCCCCCCGCCATAATCCAGGCCTAATCTGAGGGAGGGGTTCGTTGTAATCTATTTCCAGTTGCAAGACTCAAAATTTAAGGTGAGGCAGTGGAGGAAGGAGTGCGGATGAAGTAGCTTCACCTGGGAAAGCCCTCAGGATGACGTAGTTGGTAGGTTGGCCGTAGGTGTCACCCCACCAGGGACCCCTTTCCGGGTTGTGATCTCCTAAGGCTGGAGATCCGAGAGCATGTTTCCTAGGCTTAATCTTTTTTATTGTTGTTTTGGGTTGGTGTTGGTTTTGAGGTGCCAGGCATCTAACCAAGGCCTGCACATTGTTTGTGGGCGTCATCTTACACTGAGGCGATTTGATGAAAGACTCAGCTGGTGTCTCCAGTGGTATTTGGAGGCGCGTGGCCTCTTGGTAGATGGGCAGTTTTCAGTACAAGAGCAAAATGCAGGACCTAATGAGGTTTGCTGGGGCACTCGTTTTTCCAAGGTTCCAGGTTTTTTAAAAGTCGTTTTAAAATTGTCTTCAATGGGGTGCAGTGGAGGGACCAGGAACCTCCTCCACAGCCTGGGGGCCTGGACTTCGCTCCTAGGTGCGGGAGAGGGCAGCCTCTCACTGAAGGAGGCAAAGAGGAAGCGCTGTCCTCTGGTTGCGAGCCTCATTCTCCACTTCAAGCAGGTGTGGGTTTTCCAGGCTCACTTGGTTTGTCCCGAACTTGAGGACCTGAGGGTCCCAGGAGCGAGAAAAAGAAGGCCATAGTTTGGGATCAGCTCTGATGTTTCTGGTCCCAATTTCACAGACTAGGTGTCACAGTGGCGCCCCCTAGTGATCCGTAGCCAGAGGAACACCCCCCAGAAAGTCAGTCTAATCCAGGATGGTTGGAAATGGGACACACAGCAAGAAAGACATCAAAAGACGTCTTTTTCTTCTTCTTCTTCTTTTTTTTAGAAGTTGGGAATAGCATCACAGTACACAGGGCGAGCCAGGCACTCTGTGATGCCCCCAATGTGCCAGGGACAGATAGAACACAGACACAGAGCTAAGAGACAGGCCACTAAGGTCTCAATTCACTACTGACAATGAAAGTTTATTAGAGGCAAAGCCCGTGGGAATTTTCCAAATGACTCCTCATTCTGGGAAAATGGTCAGAGTCTTCCTTTATCCCCGGAGGCCCAGGGAGTTTCATTGCGCTCGGGAACAGCAGAGGGAATTTTCCAGAACTCACCACAAGGTGGCGCCAGACACCCATGGACGTCATGAGGTCCTCCAATCCAGGTGGCCCCAGAAGCTGGCGCTGGAAACTCAAAGAGATCATCAGCATTTACATAGTCAAAGGCCAAAGGATAAAATAAGGCGCGGAGGAAATAAGAAAAGACACCCTTTTTAAAGAGATGGGGAGGAGTGGCAGAGAGTGTCTACAAAAGGAACTCAAAAGAACTTTGCCATAGGACCTCTTGGCAGGACACGATGTAGGCGCGGGCAGACTGGAGATGGCCTCTGGAGAGGCTGTACAGACCTTCAGGTGGAAGAGGGCAGTGACTGGGGCCAGAGATTGGTGGTGAAGGAGAAAACACGTTCTGAATTGTGCATTTACATTTACTAGTAGTTTTTACTGACACAATAAATGAGTTAATAAGCCCAACCCAACTGAAATACATTCTATTCAATTATTCTTTGAAAATTCATCTTGTCAGCCCTTGTTGGATATCATTAGGGACTGATGAATTCAAATGTATTGTACCAATTGATGCCAGCCAACCCTCTCCTGATGTTCCCACTGCCAAACCTTTAGCTAGTAGGAGCATTTTGTATAGATGGGTTGTGGATAAGTTTGAATGACTCAATTATTTAAAGCTTTGTTTTATGATCCAACAAAGTATAGGTGTTCTAGAATCACCTTGTACCTTTCAGCCCCCAGACTTGTAGAAAAATAGCATCGGAAACCAAAATCTGGGAATCGGGGTGCATTTTGGCAGTGACATTTCTAATGGGCTGTTTCAGTGGGGAATAAAAAGCCAAAATATGTTTGATTTACTGTTTTATGCAAACATGACTACATATTAACTTGTTTGATTCAGTCATAACCACATACAGTTCTTATTCAAACTGTGAGATCAACAACTGACCCTCCTTTTCACTAATCCTGAAAGCTAGGTTCCCAACAAAATAAACAATTATTTCTTGCTCTAACTGATAATTTAGGAGAATAGCATTTTTAAATGAACTATCAATATTAACAGTGCAAATACTGAACAACATTTTTGCATTAGTCTACATACCTCCAAACATTTGTTGCCAAATTGCTTTGTTATTGAATCACTGGTAATTTGTCACACTGTATGGCTATGAAAAAAAACTTACCCAACAGATATCTTAGGTTCCATTGTTTGTGTTCACTTTCATTTTGAGAAAGCTTCAACCGGCCGCCAGGCCCCATTTTTCTACTCTACCTTTCATTTTTCCATAAGCCTCATAAACTCCCAATATACTAATTCACTAAATAATATACTTCTTTATTATCACATTATTAGTATTTTTCCCTTGTCCTGTTGGAACATAATCCTCTTGGAACAGAGGACAGTGGGAGATGTTCCCTGAAGGCAAAATCAGGACAGCTGGGCTTGACTCTGGGGCATCCAGGGGACAGCTCCTGGGTGGGCAGCGGCAAAAGCTGCAGGAGACATCACTGAAACCAAGGAAGCCACCCTGGGCTGCTCACAGACACCCAGTGCCCTCCAACTCTTCCCCAGAAGCCTGTAGGTCTCAATGATGGCTGTGAGAGGAAAGCCAAGGATGACCAGGCTCCTGGGCCTGGTAACTGAGCATCTGGAAGGCTAAAGCTTCCAGAAGAAGCATGAAGTCAGAGCTATGCCTTATAACTAGGGTAAGCTCACTCCTGGCTCACCAGAATAATCCCAGTTGATAGCTCTTGTCCTGTTATCATTAAATGCACCCCACGTCCACTTGTTAGAGCGTCCCAACTTAAAGGAACAAGTGACAGGGATAAATTAATTGGAGGGAGAGGCTCCAGGAGGGAGGAAATCTTCAGCTACAGAGGAGGCAGCCCCTCTATGATCAAGAACTAATTCAGTGTCTGGTGCATGGTTGGGGCTCAATAAACACATGTGTTGGGGACATGGGGAGACAACAGAGAACTGAGAGAAATTTCCATGTACCTATACAGGCTAGCAAAAATGGATGGAATCCTGTGAGAGATTCAAGCAGAGGAGGTCAGAGGTCATTTCTTGGTTCTGGGCTTGGCCAGGTGACGGAGGGACGATACTCACAGATTAAAGAGGCAGGGAAGAGGAAGGATCAAGGATGGCCCATGTAGTCGTGTGGTCTTTATTTTTTATAAAATGAACATGTTTCCAGTTCAGGCACAATATAAAATTCACACATACTCTCCATAAAGGAGTCAAAACCAACAAGAAGAACATAAAGGCAAAGCTCTTAGGATATCTCATCCCTGGACACAGCCCCTCCCCAATCTACTTGAGACCCTGCCAGGTGGAGAGAGGATGGTGGGGTGGTGGTGTTACAAAGGGGAAAACATCTGGTTGAGGCAGTTAGACTGTCCCCACCACAGGCTGGCTGGAAGGGCCAGGAAGTGGGGGTAGAGAGGAACCCACTCAGAGGCTCCAGACCTGGGAGGGAGTGGGGAATAAAAAGGTACAGGTCTTGCTCAACAATCAATCCTTCACTCCTCAAGAAACTTCCTCCCTCCACTCCTTCTCTAGCCTTAGGCTTTCTTCTTCACCTGGTTGGGGAGAGGAGTGAGTAGGGGCTTCCAGAGTTGAGAACAGGAAAAGCAGAGTAGAAGAGGCAGAGTCTGATCTCTGAGTGGAATGCCTAAAGGAAAAGGAAGTACCCACAGAAATCCTATGGAAAGGGGCCTCTGGGAAAAACCAAGAGCGCCCTGCTCAGGTGATCTTGTTGCCTCCTGACTCAACTGGAGCTCTTGTACAATAGAAGCTGTCCCCAAGCAAGCAGCCTGTGGCTAGGGGCTGAAGCATGAAGCCAGAGCTGTGTGTACTTTATGTTTCTCTGGACCTAAGGCTGGTGATGTAACTAAAACCCCGAAGCCCGCTTTTTTTGCAGGAACCAAAAAGACTACCCCTTTTGATTTTTACTTCTGCACTTTGACAACTTCACAGGAAAAACAGACGCTACAAACATTACACTTGGAACTGACCACCTCCTGCCCTCTCGTCACACAACACACATATTACCTGCCATCCTCAGGATGTGCACACAGTCCACACTTGATGGTGTTTTGTGGATCTCCAGCACTGGTGCACATCCTATGTTGGGGGGCTGTGGCCTTCCAGTTCACCCACCATGGCTTGCTGAGCCCTCCACCTCTGCATAGGCATTTAGCTTGAAGGGAGATCAACACTTGCTCCCATCCTTCCTTTCCTCTTCCATTTCCTCTGGGAAAGCGGGGAGCCCAAGCCAACTCATGTGTGGCCTTTGGTCCTTCTTACTACACATTTATATCCTGCTCTCCAGGAGCACTGGCCTTTCCCAGCATGAATGCCACCCGCAGTCCTGCAAGTGCTGAATGTATTTACATACATAGAAAGAGAGACAGAGAGCAGAGACAGGTGAGTAATTAATCCCCATTGCAGATGAGAAATCTGAGGACCAGAGGGATGAAGTCACTTTCCCCAGGGTCACTCAGCTAGCAAATGTCAGCTCCGGGTCTGGAAGTCACATCTCCTGAACTCTCACCAGTGCCACTGGCATGACACTCAGCCTCTGACAGTTGCTTCCGCACATGGACATGGCAGGCTCTTCATACTTCTCTTGTCCTTCATCCATGGAGGAAAACAGGAACACAGCCTCACCCCTCACCAGTCCTGTGTCCTGCAGGCCAGTCTGTGGGCCCTTCCTCAGGTCTAGATCCAGGCCTTGAAGAGTTCCTCAGAAGATAGCACAGCTGTGGCACAGACATCCACCTCTTCCCTTCTGCAGCTGATTACCTTCTGGGGTGAATTGGTTATTTTCTGAAAATTAATTTTCATCAATAATTATTAGATGTCACTAGTAGAAAGCAGTGAGAGTAAAGAATGTCACAAAAATCCCAATTATTTGATGAAATTTCAAGCTGTTAAAAAAAATCCCAAAGACAATTCCAACCCCTAGATCAGCGACTTCCAGCATTTGCTGAGGTCATCTCCCAGTTTACTGCCAAGCTATTCCCTCCAGGCCCTGATGCATCAGTGCTCCAAAATTACAGAATTCTGGAGGGGGGAGGGAACTAACCATTTTCCACCAAGAGCTTAAGAACAATGAACTAGTCTAAGATGCTTCATGAACAGCAGCTATCACAGTGCCAAGTCCAGAGAAGGTGCTCATAAATGCAGTCTCTTTCTTACTCATATTTTTTTCCTGAGACCCTGGTGCATAATCATTGCTAGTTGCAAACATGCAGATACCCATTTTTTCAAAGTGACTTCATTGCTAGTCTGCTCACCTCCACAAATTCTCTGTGTTCTTCTATAGTTACCTCCCACTGACCTCCTGGTCATCACTCCTAAAGTACATGCACACAAATGAACAGGCATGATGGTTTCCCCCACCTTGTTCTCCTAGACATCAGCATCATCCAGCCAATCACCCTTGATCCTGTTTCTAAAGAGGCAGCTTCAGGGGTTTACTCTTGGTGTCCACCAGCCAATAAGAAAAGATATCACACAAGAAGGGCTCTCTGAGCAGGAGTGTTAGCCTGGAGCAGCCATCAATTCACCACTGCTGGTCCTAGTCAGATTCTCAGGACACTGGCTGTCAAACCTGTACTGGTTTGCTTGATTATTTTAAATCCTAGAGCAGTGCTGTCCAATGAAAGCAATGAGAGCCACATATACAATTTTTAAAATCTAGCAGCACATTTTAAAAAGTAAAAAGAAATAGGTGGAGTTATTGTAGTGATATACTTTATTTAACAGATACACCAAAATATTGTCATTTAACATGCAGTAAAAAATTACTGAAAATTTTCAAATCTTTTGTACTGTCCTCCCAATCTATCACATATGACTATAACGGATAGCACAATTCTAAAACATCTAAATTAAATAATCCCAGCAGCTCTGGAGGCTGAAGCAGGAGGATTGCAAGTTCAAAGCCAGGCTCAGCAAAAGCAGTGTGCTAAGCAACTCAGTGAGAACCTGTCTCTAAATAAAATACAAAATAGGGCTGGGTATGTGGCTCAGTGGCCAAGTGCCACTGAGTTCAGTCTCTGGTACCCCTCAAAAAAAAAAATTAAACATTGTTGTACAATTAGAACGAACTTTCAAGCAAGGTTCCAATGATATTTTTAAAATATGTGTTATCATTTTTTTTAATTTAGTTGTAGTTTATTTATTTTATTTGTTTTTATTTTTATGTGGTGCCAGATCAAACCCAGTGCCTCATGCATGCTAGGCAAGTGCTCTACCACTGAGCCACAACCCAGGCCCCCCAAAATATGTTTTCAATATTTAAAAATCATGAGATTTCTCATAAGGATCTGAACTTCTAGGTTTCCTATTTACAACTTGGAGATCTCAGGCTGGGGTGTAGCTCGGTGGGAAAATGCATGTCTAGTTGGGTTTGATCCCCAGCACTGCAAAAAATAAATAAATGAATCTTGGAGGTCTGGCAGCACTGGCTCAGACCTTGGTGGCAACCTTCTGGAGCTAAAAAGCAGCTGCTTTCTTTAGATGGAATGATTTTCCCTGGGTCCATCACCTCTCCTTATTGAGTGATGGTCATTGTACTGCATTGACATTTTTTTCCAGTACCTATTTGACCCCCAAAAGCATCTGAACTCACAACTGCCACTTTCTGTGAAGCAAACAAGGCCACATTGGGGGTGGTCCATTGTTACTAACTTGGGGCCATCTCTATGCTTGCCACCCACCTTATAGTAGAATATGACAGCAAGAAAAGAAAGAATGAAGTCAGTCACAGAAAGGAAAGGAAGACCCTTTAGCACCAAAGCCCCATCCCTGGGAAGCAACTATGGATGAAAGACATGGGGAAAAATTATATTTTTAAATAGAGAATATACACTGGACCGAATTAACATGATTTTCCTTGCATGGGTACTTTTGCTTTGACTGTTACATGGTGATATAAACTTTAATGGAAAAGAATTCTTCATGGCACATTTCAGAGTGCAGCCATCCCAATTGTAAAATTGTAGATATAGACATGTAACGTTTCACCCACACAGATAAATTAAGCACAAACCTGGAAGGACATTTTGGAGAATTGCCAAGGATTTCCGATTGGTAATTTTCTACGGTTTAATTGGCTAGATGAGTGGATTTTGCAAGGCTGACTGGAAATCGCTTTTTTTTTTTTTAACAGTTTCGAGGATTATGTGTAAATAATGCAAATGTCGGAGAGAAGCTAGGTTCTGCTGAGAGAAGGGGGATAGTGGTAGTGATGCCCGGCTCCAGAATGTGTTTGGGATTTAATGGACACTGATGATCTATCTCTCACACAGCACTGTGGGGAAATGCATTGACTCAGAGAATTTGTCCACTTTAGAAATCCAGGGGAGAAAACAGAATAGAAGTTGGAATATCCAGGGAGGCTCTGGAGAGGTGGCCAGATGCACCGTGTGGGAACTGCTGGCTTCTGCTTCTCCCCACCATGGCACGGACACATCCCCACCATGGCCCGGGCACACTCACTCCTGTGCTCTGTGTTCCCTGGAGTAGAATAAGAATCCTAGGCTAGTGCAGAGCTAGGAACACCGGCAGGGACCCCTAGTCTTTGGGAGTCACTATGAAGTCCAAATTGCCCCCCATGTCCCCACGCCATACCCACCAAAGACAAAGCATAGTCCAGACTTCCCATATTCCCACACATGCTCTTTACCCTGATGCCCTTGGCAGATAAGTTGAATATGTTGTGTTGGAGTATGTTATTGGATGTAGCCACTGTTGGAACTGTAGAAAGGGACCAAGAAGGTTCAGCAGGACAGTTCAGAAGAGAAAAACTGTATATGACTCCTGAAATGGCAAGCATCCTGGGCTGGGCAAACACCAGGTTGTGTTCATGCCAGATCCTGGGAGAAAGCAGAGGTGGCCTCAGGGAGGTGCCTATACCCTGGAGAAGGGAGATCTCTCCTAGACCCTCTGATTAGAAATTGCTGTGGTTTGAATATGTTCTCCCAAAAGCATGTATTAGAAACTGAATTCCCAAGGCAACAGCCTTAAGGTGGGACCTTTGAGAGATGATTAGCTGAGGGCTCTGCTTTCACCAATGGATTGATGCAGATCGTAAAAGGACTTGAGAATGGGAAGAGAGAACCTACAGAATAGGAGAAAATCTGTGCTGCTTCTTCTGACAGAGGATTAATAGCCAGAATATATAAAGAACTCAAAAAATTCAGCATCAAAAAAACTCAGCCAGGCTCTGTGGTGCATGCCTGTAATCCCAGCAGCTAGGAAGGCTGAGGCAGGAGGATCCCAAGTTTAAAGCCAGCCTCAGCAAAAGCGTGGTGCTAAGCAACTCAGTGAGACCCTGTCTCTAAATAAAATGCAAAATAGGGCTGGGGATGTGGCTCAGTGGTTGAGTGTCCCTGTATTCAATCCCTGGTATCCCCCCCCCGCAAAAAAAAAACCCTCAATTTATAAATGGGCAAATGAATTAAACAGATGTCTCAAAAGAAAAAAATGCAAATGGCCAAAAAATACATTAAAAAATGTTCAACATAATTAGCAATTGAAGAAATGCAAACCAAAACTAAAATGAGATTTCATCTCACTCCAGTTAGAATGGCAACATCAAGCACACAAACAATAATAAATGCTGAAGAGGATGTGGAGAGAAAGGAACACTTCTACACTGTTAGTAGGATTGTATATTACTACAGCCACTATGGAAATCAGCACGGAGATTCCTCAAAAGACTAAGAATGAAACCACCATATGACCCAGCTATACCACTCCTAGTATTTATCCTGAAGAATTAGTTGTTATACTATACTGATCCATGCACACCCATGTTTATAGCAGCACAATTCACAATAGCCAAACTGTGGAACCAGCCTAGGTGTCCATCAATGGATGAATGGATAAAGAAAATGTGGTATATATATACAATGGAGTTTCAGCCAGTCGTAAAGAATGGAACTTAAGAATATTATGGTAAGCAAAATAAGTCAAACCCAAAGGTCATATTTTCCTCAGAACCAAATGAACTTCTATTGTTTATGAATTATCCAATCTGTGATATTCTATTCTAGCAATACAGACTGAGACAGAAGTGGAGTCCTATAGGTGTTCTTCCCTAAAAACCGAAAAACCCACAAAAGCATGCCATGCCCACCTAAGGCCTAAGGTACAGCCCTCTGATCAGTGTCATGCTGCAAGAAAAGAGGAAGCTTATTTACCAAGGTGTCTGGGAGGACCACCACGGGGCAGCAGGAGTACCGGAGCAGCTGACCCATTTTCCAGATGGAGAACGGCACAACCACGAGGATCAGCATGAAGCCAAGGAAGGCAAACAGGGCCAGGGCCAGTGGGAGAGCCTCTTCTGGAGACAGAAAGACAAGAAGACGCTTAGAAACCACAATGAAGGGGAAGCCTCCAAGCCCAGGCCTCCCCTGACCCCTGGAGTTGGCTCCGAATGTCAATCAAGACGGCAAAAGCCAGAAACCTGAGATTTGATATGTGCCCTGGTGACCAAAATTACCGCCATTTTTCTAAAATCTAAATTTTAGATTTAATCTAGAAAATCTAGATTAAGGTATGGTTTCCAGAAAGCTCCAGGGAAGATTAAAATCTCTTTCTCGGGAAGGGGAAGGGAGGAGCATTGTGTGTGAAGGCAAGAGTGGTGTTAGCACATACCTGGCACAGCTGCCAGAGGAAGGCAGGGGGCCAGGCCCCAGAACGGGCTGGGTGGTAACTGAAAACAAAGTGTTTCGCAATTTGCTCTTGGCACTGATCCATCTTATGGAGGAGAATATTAAGTCCGGAAAACAGTCACATAATAACTATGCTATATCAAGCCCCTGTTATGTGGCTCCTCCTTCCAGCTCTATGCTGGGGGCTGGGTGGTAAATCCCTGTTCTTTGCAATGGGCATGAGTTTCTCTGCTTTTATAAGATGATTCTATGCTCAGAATGGTTAGGCAATTTACCCCAGGTCACACAGATAGGGTTAGCTCCAAAGCCCATAATTATTGTAATTGTAAATGTAGCAGAAAGGAACAGACCTGGGCATCTGGAAATGCAGAAAGGAAATGCAATACTTTCCCATCTCTGTTCTGTGTAACCTGGAGTAACTCATTTAAGCCCCCCTGGTCGGGCAGTTTGCTCACAATGTGAAGGGTAACCTAGCCAGGGAGGTTGTAGAGAAGCTGGTAGTCAAACATGTGGCTGGGGCCATGCATATTGTTTCAAAGATTTTGAAAAATATTTTAGCAGTGTACATTGAGAGATACACAAATGTTCATACCCTTTCAATCCACTCCTGTGATTTCAATTCCAAAAAAATAATTCCAAGGAAGGAAACAATTATATGCATCAGTCTGTTCATGGAAACATCTGGAATACAGCACATGCCACCCACTGATACCATCCCATCTTTTGCTTGTTGGGAGTCTGTCTCCACTAGAGGAGAAATTCTTGAGGGCAGGGATTTCCCTGCTGTATCCAAGTGCACAGGCCAGGATTTGGCACACAGTGAGTACTCAGTAAATATTCATTTAATAAAAGAATGAACATCATCTTCAAAAGCAAATGGAAGCTGGGTGTGGTGGCGCCTGCCTGTAATCCTAGTGGATAGGGAGGCTTAGGCAGGAGAATCACAAGTTCAAAGCCAGCCTCAGCAAAAGCAAAGTGCTAAGCAACTCAGTAAGACCCTGTCTCTAAGTAAAATGTAAAATAGGGCTGGAGACGTGACTCAGTGGTTGAGTACCCCTAAATTCAATCCCTGATACCCACCCCCCAAAAAAAAAGCAAACGGAAGTGATTCAAATACCCAATAATAGGGGATTCACCAGCATGGTAGGCTAGTCATTCAGCTATTAAAATGAGAATCAGGACAGATACACACTTGGTTACTACAGCATGTTTTATAGTGGCAAAGGATTAGAAAACAAAAAATATTCTCATTAATAAAAAGATATTAAATATATTGGTTTATTATGCAGCATTTTTAAAAAACTGAGGTGGACCCAAAGATACCGACATAAAATGATGCTCATGATATACTACTAAGTGAAGACAAGCCAGGCACAGAACAGTAGGTATGGGATAGGCCCCTTTGTGTGTGTGAGCATTTGAATCACACAGACAGTGCTGGGAGGATTAAATGCCAGACTCGCCAAAAGAAACCTCCTGAGTGGTGTATGGGGAAGAATGGACAATATTTAACTCTGACCCTTCTTAAAATTTCTGTCTTGATTGGGTTTTTTAAACAAGACATGATTTTTTTGAAGTGTATAAAACAATAATCAGAAAATCTACATGGGAACTGTTATAGATATGTTAGTTATTTGAGAAAAAAAAAAAAGAAAAACAGGCACAGTGTTTATATGCTATAGAACTCCCACATGTAAGTAATGACTGAGGGTTATGCTCCTTTGGAGGGCAATTTGAAAACAGCAATCAAAATTAAAGGTCTATGTCTTCAATTGAATCAATCTACCTTGAAGAATTTATCCTTCAAATAAATATATACCAGAAAAATTATCTTTTTTTTTTCTCACAATGTTGAGAGAGTCAAACTTAAGGTCTTGTGCATGCTAGACAAGCACTCTACCACTGAGCTACACACCCATTCCTGCCAAAATGATCAATGTATTAGAGGAAATTAATTAGTGCATTGGCCGTAATAGCAAAATATTTTGGGAAAAACTAAGTGCCCATTAATAGGGGACTAGTTAAATCAGTTATTTCATATACATATAATGAAATAGTATGTAGCAATAAAGAAGGATAAAGGAACTACTTTATTAATACAGCAAAATCTATAAGATATATAAAATAAAAAAAGACAAGATCCAAAACAATGTATAGAACATGCCACCATTTGTGCTAAAAGGAAAAGCAACAAGAATTCAAAGCCAGCCTCAGCAACAGCAAGGTGCTAAGCAACTCAGTGAGACCCTGTCTCTAAATAAAATACAAAATAGGGCTGGGGATGTGGCTCAGTGGTCGAGTGCCCCTGAGTTCAATCCCTAGTACCCACCCCACAAAGAAAAGGAAAGGCAACATATGTAAATACATTCTCATTTACTTGTATATGCATTTAAGTCTTCAGAAGTATATGCAAGAAGTTCGTATCTATGGAAGAGGGTATAGGAATCATATGGATGAGGAAGAGATATGGAAAATAAAATTTCCATGTGTCTCATATTTTTGGCACCATATGAATGTACTATCTATTCAAAAGGCTAAAAGATCACACACACACACACAAGTAGTGATATTTGGGTGGCAGGATCATAGGATGTAGAATTTTGTTGGGTTTATTTTTTCCAAAAGGGTTTTCAAGCGATTTAAGTTTTTAGACTATAAGGGGGTGGTGGGGGGGCGGGTCTGGAGGAGTAGCTCAGTGGTAGAAAACTTGCCTCACACCTGTGAGGCAATGAGTTCAATCCTTAGCACTACATAAAAATAAATAAATTAAATAAAGGTATTATATCCATCTACAATTAAAAAAAAATTTTAAATGTCAAGGGGGGGGCGAAACAAGAGGCTTCTGGAGACTCTCCATAAAGCCCCTTCCAGATAAAAGAAACTGTGGCATTGTATGGTGTATGACCTCCTTCCCAGGATCACCAAGGAACCTGGCAGCCTCTCCTGCAGCCACCTCTAATCACAGGCAGTATTCATCAGCCTTGGCACATCTGGCCTAGGGAGGAGGAAGCTCTCACAGGGAGAGTGACAGCTGCTCAAGAATCTCCCCCAGCGCTAGGATGGCCTCCTGCATACGTTTACCACCGGAACCCACCCAGGTCTGTGAAATCAAGGGAAGGCTCAGAATCAAAGGCACCTGAGCATGCACCAAGAGGGGCTGTCACCTCTGCGGAGGCCCAAGGAACAGGCAGACCTTCTTTACCTTGCACCTCCACACACTCTGCCTGGCTGAAGGCACTGTGCCTCCCGATGACCTTCACCAGAGACTGGGCCTTCACACAGTATGTGGCCCCTGGGTCCATGGTTTCCAGGTGCACAGGAACGCCCCTACTCCTCACCACTTTGGTCTGTTCCTTTGGGAGACCAGAAAACACAGTTATTCTCTGAGGGCAGCAAGACTGGAAAGGTTGAGGAGAGTCAGGGAGGGAACACTGCAGAGATTTCCTTTCCGGGGTGTGTACAGAATGTTCCCTGTTACTCATGCATGTGTGCACTCAGTTGCTCGTTTATCCACTCACGTTTATTAGGCACCTAATAAGTATCAGGCACTGTTCCAGGAACAGGGACAGAGCACAGAACAAAGGAGGCAAAGTCTCTGCTATTGTAGAGCTTTCGTGGGGAAGACCAACAATATATAAATACATGTCAGGTGGCCATAAAGGCTGTGCAGAGAAAAGGCAAGGGGCTAGAGAGTGACAGGGAGGCACTAGTTTAGACAATGTGGTTAGGGGAAACCTTTCTGAAAGGATGATACTTGAGCAGAGACTGGAAATTTGGAAATCTGACTGGGCAAGGATTTGGCATGGTCACTGCTGCCACAGGGATCAGTGCATAAAATCAGAGCTGGTGGGCCATGCCTCCCCACTTGCCCATCCATCCCTCTGTCTATGCACTCCGCTGTCTACCTTTCCACTTCCACTGTCTGCCCCGGGCCTGTGCTCTGCATCTGAGCCTGCAGAGGCTTGTGTAGGCTGAGCCTAGGTGACTCAGGGCACATACTTCTCTTTCAGCACTGGCCCTGCCAGTTACAAGGGTGGGGAGCCACTCTGTCCCAAAGAATCTGAGGGAGCTGTGTGCTGCCTCCTGCCAGGCGCTGACCTGTCCCCAGCACCACTCCACCTATCTGGTTGGCAATGCCATGTCCTATCAGTTGGCTCTGACCTCATGGGGATAAGGGCTGGAACCTGGTATTATTGCCTGCCCTACCTGCCCCCACCACCTTCCAGGGGACACTTCCCCACCCAAAGCCCCTATTGAGTGTGTGGCAGGGCATATGCACTGCCCTCAGACACCACTAAGTGATCTGGGATACCTCCGGTCTGAGAAGGGTCCTATCAGAGACCAACTAGCTCCCTGCAACCACTAAGCTTGGCCCGATGAGCATGAACAATGGGATTCCTCTCCAAAGACTTTGGTCTTGGGAAACTGAATACCTGGATCTGGAAGTAGGGATAAAGGGGAGAGGATACTGTGAGGGGCCTCAGGCTCAGAGGCCTTGAGTGGCTGGGAAGGCACAATCATAGGCATATGTTGGAAGGTGTGATGAAGGGCAGGGCCTGGGAGTAAGCTGGGCAGGGGGCCACAGGAAGAGGACTCACCGGAAGGAGGCAAGGCCACCACAGGTAGGGGGCCCTGGGGAAAGGAGACTCTGCCAGCTCTGCTCAGGGATTCTGTGAGAGCCCATATTAATACTCTGAGAAAGCCCATTACTTCCTGGTGCTGATGGCAGCAGGCCTCTAGGCCCTGTCTCCCTCTCAGCTTGGACAGGGGTTCCATGGATTTGAGTGTCCCCCCACTTTCCACTGGTGCTCCACCCCTTCTGCTGCTGCTATTTGTGAGGGCTGGACTCCACTCACATGGATTACAGCAGCTTTCCCACGGGGAGGGGCAGCTCCCTCCCGGGCTTTCTGCATGGCCTACCTGCTCATAATTAAATGGGCTTATTCATAAGCCAGCTCCTGGCTGGCTGCTCCCTTCTGTTCCTTGCCAAGATACACACCCTCAAGAGGCTTGTACCAGCCTCATAGGCTCTTGAAATCATCCAGTTGATCTGGAACACCCTGGCCTGCTTCCCCTAACTGGCTGAGGAGATCAGCTGATGAGAGAGGGGAAAAGTCCATTCAAAAGATGTTCCAGGTCAATCTAGCTTAATTTGGGGCATGAGGCTGTCCCCAAACTTCAGCAGATCTACCTGAAAACGTTCCCAGCCAAGGCCAAAGTGGACTAAGGCATTTTTATTTTTTAAAGAGGCCCATGGAACGGTCAGCATCCAGTCATCTCTCCCTTCACAGGCTTCACCCAGAGCTGCTCATTCTCAGGCTGCCCAGACAGTGAGCACTGCAGGACCTGGCTTTCCTCACCCACCCTCAGAGAGCTGTGCCATCTCCCCCCAAAACCCGATTCACCTTGGCACCAGGCTCCCTCCTCCAGTAGACCACGAGGAACTCAAACTGCGGCCCCAGGTCTTCCAGCTCAATAACCAGGTGGAAACCATCCTTGGACACCTCCATCCTGGGTGGAGTGAGGATGGCTGTTGGCAAGACAAGGGCAGAATCAAAGCCAGTCCCAGGCAGGACCACTTTTTGAATGATGAATGAATGAAACCCAAATGGCAAAGATTTACTATGATTCTTTTTTTTGGGGGGGGGGCCTCTTAACTTCAATAAAGTCTTCTATTCTTTTCCAGAAATACATATACTCAAGAAAAGAGGAAAATGGATTACATACTCAAGTAGACATTATAACTTTCCCTTCTAAAATTGTGTGCTCCAGGTTCCACTAACCCAATTTTTTAGCAGACATTGCTCTTCTCCTTGGCTCATCTAATGAGCAGATGCCGTTTCTTAATGCTTGCCAAACACCTGCCTGAACTTGGGTCTATGTGGAGCATAGCTGGGCCCCATCTTTTCCCCTTAGGAATGAACATACCTGGCAGGGCATGTGCATCCCTATAGTTCTCATAGACAGTGGCATGTAGAGGCACCTGAATACTTTCAGACATGTGCAAACCAGAGGCCTTTGGACGGGTTAGCTATTCTGTTCTAGGCCTTATCTCACATCCTGACAGAGGGATATTATTGGCAAGTCAAAGGCTTTTTACAAATTTTAACATTGACTCTAGAAATTACAACTTAAATATAAATATCATCTTTCACATTACTTGGATCGCAAAGAGAGAGGGATCCCCACCAGCAGGCCAAGAACAGAAGGGGTCACAGAGGCAGCTCCCACCCCCTCGCTACTGATGATGAATCCATATGTGCCTTGCAGATCCAGGTCCTCTGACCTCCATCTTTATTGAGGATAGATATTATTAGAGAAAATGACCCAAAGTTTCAGTTCAGAGAAGAATTTTTTGACAGTATTGGGCAGGAACCTCTGTCCTAAGCATTCTGCATACTTGTCTCATTTAATCCACCCAGGAAACCTAAGAGGGTAAATATTATTCTGTTTGTATGGAAATGTTAAGGGACTTTCCCAGAATCACAGTTAATGACCAGAATTTGAGCCCATGTCTATGTTTCTAGCTCCCCCATGAGGGGCGTTTATTGTTTGTACCAGGCAATCCCAAGTCCAGCTATAAATGAAAATAACTAGGGAGAATTTTGAACTCCCAATGACCAGGATGCACACAAATCAGTCAAATCAGACCCTCCAGGAATGGGCCCCAGAAGTGTGGTTCTTAAGCGCCTCCTCGACTCCAGCATGCAGTCGAGGCTAAGAACCTCTGCTCCCAACAAGTTTAAGGGCAGAAGATCCTCTATAGGGTAACCTTAAAGAAGGATCTTTCACATTCCTGGGGAAAAGTCAGAGTGGCCTTTTACAAACGGAAAAGGACAGACGGAATGCCTTTAAGAGATCACCATGCCACCCAGCTCAGTTGCTGACTCCACTGTGCAGGGATAGCTCAAGAACACATCTTCAACCTTCTGATGCAAGTACGGGCTCTTTTCTTCAGCTCCCCCTGCAGCAAGACCTTTTCCTATTTATTCTGGCCTTCTCAGCCCATGTTTGACAGCACAGCCCTGCCCACATAGTTTGGAAGGCACTCCCTTATCTATTTGACCCCAGTCTTCCTTCCAACAGCTGCCAATCCCCAGCAATAGTCTTGGCATCTCCCAGGTGCCAGAGGGAGGTGGTGCTGGGTGCTACCTGGGTACTGCAGGCAGAGGCAGAGCTGCAGTGCCCTCCCCAGTGCCTAGGATCCTTCCATTTCCACTAAGTCCTCCCATTGCCTGGGAAGGAGGCCAGAGGGAGGAATCCATTTTTGGCACCACAGTTCCTACTGGTGTTTCATTCCAACAATCCTGTTCCTGCCCCACCCCTCCACTCCTCTGTTCTCTGGCTCTCAACTCCAGGCATCCCTAGGGCAAAAAGTGATAACACCTACCCACAGTTGAGTGCTATGGTAGGACAGCACTCCGCTGAGTAATTTGCACATTTCTTCTCATGTGGTCCTTACAACTATCCAGTGAAGCAACCTGTTGCCCCTTTTACAGATGAAAAGGCAGGGACCCAAGCATCAAGTAGCTGAATTGGGATTTGAACCACATCCCTCAAGTTCCACGGGGCCAACTTCCCTTTCAAAGCTGTCTTCATCTTCCTCAGCCTCTTGCTTGGGCACCCCCACCTTCTGAGCCCTCCTGAGGTCCACACAATGTCACAAGATCCTTAACCACTCTGACTTGCCCCATTACTTCCTCTGCCCTCACTCACAGCAGAGAATCTTCTGCCACCTCTGAATATAAGGCTACCAAAGGCCCTTGCCCTTGTTCTTCCTGCAGCTCCCAACCGTCTGCATTCTCACCCACACCTGCTTAGGGGAAGAGCTGCCCGGCTGATTCCCACCTCCATCAGTCTTCCACCCCGGCAACCACACTGTTATCCCCTCCATTCCATGAGGTCACTTTCTTGAGGACCCATGCAGGGGCCTCCTTCAGCCTTTTCTCCCTCCATGACCTCCCAGCCCATTCACCTTCTCTCCATAGACATGTTAAACCCTGAGGTTCCCCAAGACCCCAGGGTCTCTTTGTCTCTCATATCTTCTCCCTGGATAATCTTATACTCTCCCAAATCTTTAACACAACTCTATGTTGTGTGTCTCTGGCTTTTGACCCCTCTGAGGACCAGACCCTGATGTCCAGCTGCCAGTCAGGCATCCATGGCATGCTATTCTGCTGGAATCTCCATCACAAAGGGCACAGAGACAGAGATGTCTCTCATTGCTCAAGACCAGTTGCTCCTCCCAGTGTCTCTGCTTTGGACGGCATTCTCTCTGACTCTAATCAGAAGCTGGACACCATCACCATCTCTCCCAGCCCTATCTTCTAATAACTGGTCTCCAAGCCCCGTCCTTTCTAACTCATCATGTCTCTTGAATTCATCCTTTCCTCCTCCTCCTTCTCCTCCTCGCTTGGGACTGGGCTCCATCTTGAATCAGCTGGAGTGTTACAACCCTCTCCTCGTTCTTCCCCTGCCCTGGACAGGCTTGCCCATTCCAGGTCACTTTCCACACAGCAGCCAGAAGGATTGTGCTGTGAGACAGACCTTGCCTAGACACTCTCTCTTCCATGGCTACCTTCTGTTGAATTGACAAGCTTCATATCAAAGCCACATGGATAGCTGCTTCTCTACCCTCTGCCATCCATCCAGTCCTGGCTTCTACTGTTTTCCACCTCTGCACATCCTTTCATGCTCTGGCCATTGCTTGCACTCAGCTATATGTGAACACCTACCCGGATTCTTGTCTTCTTTCTCAATCATTTTCCAGGTACCATAGCAATTAGAAGAGTCATTTCCCAGCAACCACAGAAGGGTACTATTTCTCATGACCCATTAAAAATATAGCTCTTTTTAAACAACAAAGTTGCTTACAGTCAGTAAATATGGAATTCATGAGGCACCAGAAGGGAGGCAGTACAAGATTTATGGAGGTATGAGCGGTGTAGTCAGAGGCAGTCTTAGTGCTATCTCCCTATTTCCAGAACAGCCAGGTTCCCAATGCCAATGTCTCCACCATCCACAAACCCTGACCGAGACAGTCAGCAACGACATCCAAAGCCAAAGAACCAAAGAGAGGGAAGTGATCAGCAATTTTAAAAATATATCAGTGGGCTGAGGGTTTAGCTCAGTGGTAGCGTGCTTGCCTAGCCCATGTGAGGCACTGGGTTTGATCCTCAGCACATCATTAAATAAATCAACAAACAAATAAAAATAAAGGTATCATGTCCATCTATAACTAAAAATATTTTTCAAAAATGTATCAGTAAGAGTGATTTACATCCACCATACTCTGGCTTTGCAAGATTATTTTGATGATAAAAAGGATCCTGAAAGTCTTGGTGAACATGAGAAGGGGAGCATGGGAGAGCAGAGAGTAAGGAAAAAAGTGCCTTACTTGAGTTTCGATTAAAGGGGTGCTTCAGGGTGCTCCAGGCAGAAGTTTGGGAGCCCAATGTGGCCCTGACACGGAGTTTGTAAGGGACTGTGGCAGTGATGTCATCCGTGACGTCACACTTGGGTTCTTCAGTGACCGTGCACCAGCTGGTGGGGATCCAGATCCAGCTTATGTACAGGCTCTCATACTCTCTGGCCAAAGAAAAGAGGATGCAGCGTCACACCAACCCCTTGACCCAGGCACAAAGGTGATGGGAACTGCCTCCATTCTCCCACTCTTTATACTCAGCATTTGCTCCCCATCCCAGCTCCTCCACTCTCTTCCCTCACCAACCATCCATTCTTCACTCCTTTTGTCACCAGCCAAGGGAAACCTAGGCATGAACCCCAATCTGTGTATTTCTCTCCATGTTCACAGTCAGCACCCTTATCTCAGCCATCCTCATGTCCTGCCTTGCTGAGGTCTCCCAGCCTCTGCTCTTGCTGTTCTTCAAGCCATTCACCACCCTCAGCATACCATGACATTTCTGTCTTCCATGGCTTTTTACAGCACTTAGAATGGAATCCAAACTCATCCCCATTGCTACAAGACTCTGGCCAGCTCAGAAAAGAGATATTCTTGCCACACTGACCTCCTGGTCATTTCTCCCAGAATGCTGATCTCTTAATTCCAAAGGACCTTTGATCAGCTGTTCACTCTCTCAAATGATCTGTCCCTGCTGTTCACAGGGATGGTTCCTTGCAGATCTGATGTAAGGATCACCACCTCAGAGAGGCCTTTCCAACCACCTATTATAAAGCAGCTGCAGAGTCAGCCCTTTTGCCTCAGCCTTATAGTTGTTCTAGCACAAATCACTCTCTGAAATTGCCTCAAGCATTGCTACCCAGTAGAACTTTCTGAATTGATTGAAATGTTCAGTACTGGTAGTGCTCAATATGGCAGCCACTAGCCACGTATGGCTCTGGAACATCCAAAATGTGACCGGTGTGACTGGGAAGCAGATATTTGAGTTTAATTTAAATTAATTTAAACTTAAATAACTCCCTGTAGCTAAAGGATACCATACTGAAAAAGAATGGACCTATTATATTTTCTGCCCATCTCCTCCTTCAGATATTAAGTTCCCTGTATCCAGAAATGTTGTCAGCTGTGTCTTGAGCCTACAATACCTACACACTTCTAATAATGTGATCAGTTTGTATTTACTGCCAATGAAATACATTGAGCACTTTCTCTGCTGCTGTCACTACTCAACAGTTGCAAATTCCTGGAGAAGACTAGAGCCTGGTAGGCCCCAGGGCCAGCTGATCTTTAAGGCAAATATTTGTTTTGGCTTCTAAGTACAAGACTATATATAGTCAAGAAAACTGAGATATCTCTCTCCTCCCAAAGGATCTGGATCTCCAATGATTTGTCCATCTCAACTCAGGGTCAAACTCTTTGGACAGCTGACTCACTGTTGAAAAGAAGCCACAACAAAATGTATGTCTACACATTCATGTTTCCAGAGAGTTCACTGTCAAAACCAAAGGGGAGTTCCTTGCTTCCTTGACTCTTTCAATGCCCACTCACACAGAGAGGGCAGATCATTGGAGATAATCCATCCCTGGGCTCACAAGGCCTCCTTGAGCCAAGAAGGAAGGGGCTGTGTCTCCAGGAACCAATTGCTGTCTGAGGGAGGAAAAATTATTCAAACAACAAAAACCAATCACTCACCCCTGATACTCAACAGAATAGTGTACTGTTTCTCCAGGCAGGATCACTGGGCTCCATGTCAAGAGATGCTTCATGTTGGTTGAGTGCACAGAGAGGTTCTGAGGGGCAGGCAGACTGGCCACTCCATCTGGGTGAAGGCAGAGAGGAAGGCTGAGGGGTGGCTGACATGGGGGAATACCACAGCTGCAGACTGGTAGCATCCAGTGAAAGGCCACACAGGTTTATGAATGATGACAACTCTAATTTTATCATACTTGTGCTAATGCTAATTTTTGGATACCATAATTATAATTTTGCCTTTGTGATAAAAGGGCATATTAACAATGATAATGGGTAATCTTAAGCAAGATCTTATATTCTATTAAGCTATGTGCTAGATTGTTCCTTTAATCTTCATTACCCTACTGGGACTAAGGACCATTGGTTCATCCACTATACAAATGAGAAAACCAAAGCCTATTATATAGGCATGTTATGTATGTACTTATTTTAACAAACATATAAAAATTGTACATATTTATGGTACACCTACCACATGGTGCTTTGATACACACACATACTGTGTAATGTTCAAATCAGTATCTATCTCCTCAAACATGTATTATTGCTTTGTGGGGAAAAAACATCCAAAGTCCTTTCTTCCAGCCTTTTAGAAATATCTAATACATTTTCATTATCTATACTCACTCTACTGTGCAATAAAATATCAGAATTTTTTTTCACACCAATTCATGTCTTTATATAGTACAATTCTTATTACACATATATATCACAATTTTTCATATCTCTGTTTGTATATAAAGTATATTGACACCCAATTTGTGTCTTCATACATGTACTTTGGTTAATGATGTCCATCATATTCCACCATCCTTGCTAATCCCCTGCCCCCTCCCTTTCCTTTTCACCCCTCTCTCCTATCTAGAATTCATCTATTCCTCCCATGCTCCTCCTCCCTACCCCACTATGAGTCAGACTCCTTATATCAGAGAAAACATTAGGCATTTTTTTTGGGGGGGATTGGCTAATTTCACTTAGTATCATCTTCTCCAACACCATCCATTTACCTGCAAATGCCATGATTTTATTCTCTCATATTGCTGAGTAAAATCCCATTGTGTATATATGCCACATTTTTTTATATCCATTCATCCACTGAAGGGCATCTAGGTTGGCTCCACGGTTTAGCTATTATGAATTGTGCTGCTATAAACATTGATGTGGCTGTGTCCCTGAGGTATGCTGTTTTTAAGTCCTTTGGGTATAGTCCGAGGAGAGGGATAGCTGGGTGAACTGGTGGTTCCATTCCCAGATTTCCAAGGAATCTCCATACTGCTTTCCATATTGGCTGCATCAATTTGTAGTCCCACCAGCAATGTATGAGTGTACCTTTTCCCCCACATCCTCCCCAACACTTATGGTTGTTTGTCTTCATAATAGCTGCCATTCAGAATATCAGAATTTCTCAAATCTAAGTATAATTTAGTACCTGTTGGCCAAACTGTTTCCTCTTCCCTCCCTCTCTCCTAATCCCCCCGTGCTCTGGTAATCACCACTCTGTTCTAAATCTTTATGAGATCCACATTTTGGGATCCCACATTTGAATAAGATCATGTAATATCTCTGTGTCTGTCTTGTTTCATTTAATGTAATATCCTCCAGTTCCATCCACGATGTTGCAAATGAAATAATTTCATCCTTTTTATGGACAAACATTATTCCACTGTATATGTACCACAGTTTTGTCTTTTTATAAATTTATCAGTTGATGTACATTTAGGTTGTTTCCATCTCTTGTCTATTGTGAATAGTGCTGCAATGAACACGGGAATGTAGATATCTCTGCAACATACTGATTTCATTTCCTTTGGATATATACCCAGTAGTAGGATTGCTGGATCATATGGTAGTCTTATTTTTAATTTTTTGAGGAAGCTCCACACAGTTTTCAATAGTCACTATATTAATTTATATTCCTAACAATAGTGTGCAAATATTCCCACCCTTGTCAGTACTTGTTATCTTTAATCTCTTTGATAATAGACATTTGTTTTTGGTCTGTCCTGGGAATCAAACCCAGAGTCTTAAACATGCTAGGCAAGCATTCTGCCATTGAGCTACAACCCAACCCTGATAATAGTCACTCTTATTGGGGTGAGGTGTTAAATCATTGTGGTTTTGATTTGCATTTACCTTATGATTAATGATATTGAACATTTTTCATATACTTGTTAGCCATTTGTGTTTTTTTTTAAAAAATAAATGTCTATTTAGATCTATTATCCATTTTTTAAATCAGATTATTTGGGTGTTTTGTTTGTTTTGCTATTTGAATTCCTTATATATTCTGGACATTAACCCTGAAGGATATTGCTTATGACAGGCCCTTATTCCAGGCTTTGATGCAGTCATGTGCTATGTCACCTTAAGCAACTTGAATTAACCTGAGCCTCCCACTCCTTTGTGGCAAACCCATGCAGGCTCTTGCTAGCTTCTTGTCATATTCCTCTCCTGCTCATGCCAACATATGGTATGAAAGCACAACTCTTCATGACCTCTAACAGTACAAAATGGGGCATCAGCTTCCAGGTGGGGAGTGTAGGCTCAGGTCAGCTATGAAGTGAGTCCAGTCATAAGAGGTGCTAAGCCAGCCTAGAGACTCCACCCCAGAGCAATTGCAAGGCCATGAGCCAATCTGGGACATCTGCTCACATAGATGTGTGTGGTGCACCAAGAATGGTTGGCTCAGAATGAAAGAAGCCTGTGAAGCTGAATCTACTCTCATAAGGACTTTGGGTACCCCAAAGTGCAACCTTGCAGGTAACACCAGAGTGATCTTGACTGTCTACTGAAATCCTCTCTTCTCATTTTACATGCTCCTATTTTAATGCCCAACACCTGCCTCCCTTTGCTGTTGTAATCACAGTGATAACATCAACAGCACAGTGGAGTGAGGGGACAGCTGGGGCCCTCTGTGCCTATCTCCATATTGGCACCTGCTGTTTGTTATCAAGCCCTCTTATCACAAAGAAATGGGGCCAGGGGGCTTCTGGGGACACCTCATCTGATTCCCTTGCCTCTTCTCTAATGTAGGACACTGGTGATACATCTTCATCTCACACGTACTAGCCACAGTCAGCCCTATGAGGAAACACCTGGGGCACCCACAAGGAGGCTTCCTGACCTCCCAATTCCTCACTTTGAAATCATCAAAGAGATGGAAAGGAAAAAGGCCATGTGGGGGTGGGGGTGGGACAGGAGGGTCTCCTCTGACATCCTTCCTCTGGGAAAATTAAAAAAAAAACTATTTTGGAAATATGAAGCTGCATAAATGTAAGGCTACATTTCATATAATAAAAATTATGTATTAATATAATTTATTCATTAATATACTTCAATTATATACTTTAAAAGCCCTCAAAAATTAAGTCTTCAGACCCAGATGGTTTCACTAGAGAATGCTACCAAACATTTACAGAAGAATTAACACAAACTTTACACACACTATTTCAATACATAGAAGAGGAAAGAACACTTTCCAACTTATTTTATGAGGCTAGTATTACCCTGATGGCAAAACCAGACAAAGATAATTTATATTTTATTTGTTTGTTTACAATGATGGAGATTGAACACAGAGTCTTGTATGTGCTAGGCAAATTCTCTACCACTGAGATACAGCCCCAACCCAAACAAAAATAATTTGCATAAGTGTTTTTACGAACTTAGGTGCAAAAAAAATCAATAAAATATTAGTAATCCAAATCTAATAATGTATAAAAATTATGACCAAGTAGGATTTTTTCCAGGTATGCAAGGGTGGGTGGTTCAACATTTAAAAATCAATTAGTGCAACCCACCATGTCAATAAACTAAAGAAGAAAAACCACATAATCTTTTCAGTTGACACAGAAAAAGTATTTATAAAACCTAACACTCATACATGATTAAAACAAAACAAAGTCTCTCTTCAATTAAAAAGAGCAAGGAGTTTATCTGAACTTGAGAAAGATCATCCATAAAAAGTCTACAGCTATGATTTTAGCAACATAGTAAGAGACTGAATTCTTCCCCACTAAGAACAAGAATAGGCAAGGATTTCCACTCTCACCACTCTTATTCAACAGAATACTAGAAATTCTAGTCACTGTATTAAGGAATGCAAAAGAATAAAAAAAATACAGATTAGAAAGGAAGGAGTAAAGCTCCCTCAATTTACAGATGATATAATAGTGTATGTAGAAAATCCCATGGAATAAAACAAGAACAAAAACAATTCTTGATATTCCAAGTAAGTTCGAAAGACATAAGATAAACAAAATTTAATCATATTTCCATAGATTAGCAATGAAGATTTACACATAGAAATTAAAACTACAATCACTCAAAAAACAATGAAATGCATGAATGCAAATCCAACAAAATATATCAAGATTGATATGGAGAAAAGTTTTCAATGTTGATGTGAAAAACTGAAAAAGACTTAAATAAATGGAGAGACATATCATGTTCACGGATTGGAATATTCAAAATAGTTCAGATGGCAATTCTCCTCCAAACTGACACACAGGTTTCACACAATTCTATCAAAGGCCTGTCAAGGTTATTTTTGTAAACTTTATTTTAAAAGGCAAAGGAATTAGAATAACCAAAACTACTTTTTCTTCTGTGTGTGTGTGTGGAGATATATATATATATATATATATATATATATATATATATATATATATATATATACTCAGCATGTGCTGAGCAGCTAACTAACCCAAACTAAAATAATTTTGCAAATAAAGCAGAGGAACTAATCTATTCAATTCCAAGAACTATAATAAAAATTGGAAGCACTCCCTCTAAAAACTGGAACAATACAGGGATGCTCTCTTTCACCACTACTATTCAACATTGTCCTTAAATTCTAGCCAGAGCAATTCGACAGATGAAAGAAATTAAAGGAATATGAAAATAGGAAATAGGAAAAGAAGAACTCAAACTATCATTATTTGCTGACGACATGATTCTATAGAGGATCCAAAAAACTCCACCAGAAAACTTCTAGAATTAATAAATGAATTCAGCAAAGTAGCAGGATATAAAATCAATACCCATAAGTCAAATGCATTTCTATAC